TGAAGATTTTTACGCTTCACTTTTCAATTTATTCCCTTATTGATAATTGGCTTCGCTTTGGGAGTGTGCCCTCCAGGTTGTAGACTTCGTTGCACAAAGAGGAAAACGGTCAGGACCCGACCTAGACTCAGCGTTGTTAACGGTTGTGAGGCTAAGCATTTTAGAGAAATAAGAAAAATATCTATAATATTGGTAACAATAAAACGAACATGGATTCTTCTATAACAAGTGTCATCAACAGAAACAAGAAACTTACTTGGAAAAAAAAAACTCTGTGATTTTGACATTTTTTATTAAAAAGTAATTTTCACCATATACAAGGCACAAAAGCCACTTAAAGCAGAAGGTAACTCTATAAGTATTGAGAGGAGGAGGTTAGAAGCTCAGTTTATGTAGGGGAGATAGCGGACAAAGTAAACTTGAAGATATTAAGAATGTAGTGATCAGGAAGCTTTCTCACAGGAGTCTGTCCTCTAACGTAGCTGTTCTTAGGAAGAATCTGTCCGAGTAATAGTTCCTTCATGCTAATAAGATACGAAGGGAATGGGGCTGCTTCATCCCGTACACGTGGTAGGGTAGGGTCCTAGCCGCGAAGATCAGATCAAGTGGAACTAAGGAATGAAGACCGTCAGAAGATTTGCCATGCTTATAACGATATATTAATAAGTGACTTGCAAAATTTAATCTGTGGAAAAAGGGCTGCAAAGAGGTAAAATAATAATTAATCGCCCAAAATACCGTTTAGATTCTTCTGAACTCTATCCACGTGAGGGCTGGGTGGCTCAGATATGGCAGCAGAACCACATTTTGCGTCGGATCTGGCTCTTGCAAAGATTTACCTTAACAAGAAGAGTCAGCTATTTACTGGAGTGGTACTATTTTATTGATGGATTGTATGTATGAGTTTCACTTAAGGGCGGTAGTGAACTTTTGTCGCAATAGGCGTTCAAGGCAATGCGCGTCCTCGAGAGAACAAAACTAGCAATGGGCAGTCACAAACAGCAATCATCAAAAGAATGTGTGATTATATGAAAAATATATGGAGATTTCATATAATGCCCCGAATATAGCCATTCATTTTAAATTTAACAAGCAACGATGCTTCATATGATGTGCAAAACATTCTGACAAGACATAACATGATCTGATTATGTCAGTGTCCGTCCACAAGACTTTTAGTTTTTCGGAAGCTAAAACGGCCGTTGGAAAGAAAGATACTTCAGACGGTGGACGAGATTAAGGAGAACGGGATAAAGAGTCGGATGGTGATTACTAAAGAGGATTTTGAAAAATAGAAGATAAATATGGTAGGCCCTAATGTGAGTTCTTCTTCTTCTTTCAGGACGTTGATTTTTATGGCTCTCCAGCAATTTTGTATCATTTGTAGCTCTTATTAATTTTTGTCTTTTTCCTTCTTTTCCTAATCCCTGCTCTGCCATCCATTTGTATACAAGCTTGGTAGGAAGGTTATATGCGCTGATTTCCTCCGTCTCTCTTGTCTTAATGAGTAGATCATGTTCGGCCAGACCTGGTGTATTCTCAAGACTGGTAATGGCGCGGGACGTCATCATCTATCAACGTAATGACATTTCCACTTTCGACAAACTGGAAAGAAATATAGGAAACAGTCTGGCGGACGACATAAACATGTTTACGAAACAGAAAGTTAACGAAAGACGCGAAAATCTACATATAGTCATGCAGCTCATCCCTCTATATATTTACGCTTCCTGGGTCTCATACTGGCGTCGCCCGCACTTAGTTAAGCGCTTATATAATTATTGCATTCACCTCGTAATATTAATTAGAGCAACATTGTTGCTATCACTAAATTTCTAGACCCAACCAGAGGCTAAGCTGTTGAAGGTATGATACTAACGCATCCTCTTCGATTAGCAGTCCACCTGGAAATAATTGAAGACTTCTGACGAAGAACCTTAACTAGAAGAACGTAGCCCATCTTGCGTGGATTCTGTTACCATCAATGGAAAAAGGAAGCAAATAACATTATGTCATGGATGTACATTGGTCTGACAAGCAATTTTACATTCTTGCAGCTAATGCAGACAAGCGTTTTTCTTTCTATGTTCCTGTCTATTCCGGACGTAGGAGATCATGGATCTCTACGTCCTTCTATCTCTTGCAGCTCTCAACAAGTTCTTTCCCATTACCACCTCCTCCAGAGCAGGTTCTGTCATCCAGACTACGATCTCTCATCCACTTGCTTAAAGTCGATGGATATCTCGACTGTAAATGCCTCAGCAATATTATGTGAGCCTGGAACAGACATAGAAACTCTACCCAATCAACATTTGCTTATATACATACATTACGCTCTACACTGTTATTCTGTTGTAATTCCTTTTTTTTTATAGAAATGTGAAGTAATGAATAGCGGTTCGGATCGAGGAATCGGAGAACCGAGTTCCAATTCCAGTCGAATCCATTGCACTCTCTTACTTGCTAATAACCTTGGGAAAGGTATGAATCCTCTTCTTAACCCCCCTCCAACTATGGGTAAACGGACCGGTTTCTCTAGCCTTAGATGGCAACTGGTCTACCGTAGAAGGAAATGGCAACCTTCAGAGGGAAAATAAATAATCTGCCTCATCAGTGATGTTTCGACAGTTACATGATCGCTTAAGCCTGTATCACGGATGGTACATAAATTGACTGAATGAACTGTTTTAGGGAAATATCTTTACTGTTAACATCTCAAAGAATATACATAATAAATAATGAACTACATGCATCTTTTATGCCGTGCCAATAATTTAAATGAATTTAGATAAATTCTTACCATCCTCACATTCTAATTAAAGACAAGTGAAAAATTTACAAAGACATTTTTGAACAATATAAATACAAAAATAACTAAAATAAAAAAAAAAAAACAGTACTATTTTAATGAAAATAAAGTTATAATGATTACAGTAAACTGAAATTTACTTTGTGAATCTAAGCATCCATTGATGTTTGGGATTTATCGCGTAGCCTCCAAAATGGCGTTCTAAACTTTATCTTTATTACTAAATTGAGATCGACAATAGTAAAATTCCTGATATTCAACTATATTCCATGCATTTAAGATCGAGACAACAAAACAAACATTTCATCATCTAAAATATTTTATAAGCCGATATCCAACGTTGTTCTTTTGTGCGGAAAACCCATCTTAATTTCTGAGAACGTTTATCTACTTGAACCATGGCACCACGCGTGCCTTCAAAAATATCAATAATTTTAATATCTTACCGGTATCTGCAATTCACCATGCAACAATCACATGACTACCTTTAATCTTTTTTTTTTAAAACTTACACCCTGGACAAGACGAAAATGCTAATAAGAGACAAAGGGTTACACGTAGTGGGAAAAAAATCAGAAAAATTTAGTTGGGAGAAAGCATAATACAAAATAGGGATTCAGGAAGGCAGAAGATTGCGTTCGACGTTGCACACCTCTGTCTTGCAGAGCTTTCAGCCTTTGAAAGCGGTTTCATGGAGTATTTCTTCAGACCATTTGGTTCATCTACCGTAGAACAGCATTTGGCGAAGGAAAGAACCTTTGATAAATCGATATTTACGTTTTCGGTTGCAGATTTAATTCTATTTTCCCTGTACAATTCTTTTAAACAATTTCTGATGATCGGTCCTATGTGTTCTCCCAATTTATTTTGTGTTCGATATCTTGATCTTTTCGATAGTTACATGCTATCATCACAAATATATTTTACTCATTTCTCGCTGGATACTGGGCATTCGATAAAAGTCCGCAATTGGCCCTTCTCTAGTTTGCATCGTGGTCAGTCAGGATTTTCAACACACTCTTTATAAGTCAGTACTGCTACTGATCGCTTTTTGCATTGTCCCATGGTGTTTCGAATTTTGCCGGCGATGAATTTTTTAAACATATCTATTCATCCGTTAACTCAGCCTTAAAATCCATTTTAATTTTGAAAGGCAGCTAATAATTTCTTCAGAATTCTGATACAAACAGTTAGAGGAAAGCTGGAATAATGGATAGGGGTTCGAATTGCGAAAATGGAGAGCTGAGTAAGAATTTAAGTCGATTGCATTTACTTTCGTGCAAATACCTTTATGAAAGGTATAAATCCATTTCTTTCACCCTCCTACTAAATAGAAGGATAGATTAGGCCCTTTAGCCTTGGTTGACAACCAGTCTAGGAAAAAGAAAAATATCTGACATCCAACTATCCTGGAACTGCTTGGATCGCACGAGCCTAAAGTTTGTATTCCCCGCCACTGGCGATCGTTTGTGAATCCAAAATTCCTTCTGAAACTTCTATTATGAATTTTCACGTCTTTCGGTAGATTCGTTTGACGGAGCCGGGTCAGCCAAACCAGAGTGAATGGCGCTTACAGAAAATAGAAATAGTTATCGTTTGTCTATATCTTCACAGAACGAACAGATTTCCATCTTATCAGCGCAGTAAATGTTGCCATGCTAAAACAAATGCAACTTTAGATACTAGAATTATTTTATATATAAATGCACAAGGAAATGAGATGCATATCTATCTATCTATCTATCTATATTATATATATATATATATATATATATATATATATATATGTGTGTGTCTGTGTGTGTGTGTGTGTATTTGTGTGGGGGCATAAGCAAGCGTTTAGGTGGGTGCGTGCAACTTAAAAATATCGTATATTGTTACATACGTTGGAAACAAGTATCCACATATGACCTTTTGAATAAAAGGCACACATGTATATCATTCAAAATCAGTCGATATATGCTGTCATATCTGTGCTGTATTCACAATGAACTCCATACGACATAATTCTTTTTTCGGTATCTCTCCCTACTTTGACATTTCCTTTTAATAATGTTTTTCTTTCTTCTTTTCAGATAGAAAAAAAAAAAAACATAAATAATGAGATAGACTTTTCTTGGCGAATCGATATCGAAACGTAAATTAATTCCTTCCGCTTGCGATTATCTGGCGACTTGAAAATTGGATTCGATCAACAAAAACTGAGAACACGAAAAATTGATAAGATGACAAGAAGATGATGAAGAAGAAGAAAATAAATAAAGAAAGAAAGAAGAAGAAATAAAGAAATAAAGAAAGAAGAAGAAAGAAAGAAGAAGAAACAAAGAAAGAAAGGAAAAGAAATAAAGCGATAAATGGATAAAGAAAGAAAGAAGAAGAAATAAAGAAAGAAAGAAAGAAGAAGAAATAAAGAAAGAAAGAAAGAAGAAGAAAGAAAGAAAGAATAAATAAATAAATAAAGAAGAAGAAGAAATAAAAAAGAAAAAAGAAAGAAGAAATAAAGAAAGAAAGGAAAAGAAATAAAACGATAAATGTATAAAGAAAGAAAGAAAGAAAGAAAGAAGCAGAAATAAATAAAGAAAGAAAGAAGAAGAAAAAGAAGAAGACGAAGAAAATTTAAAGAGTAAACGGGACGAAACAGGAGAAGAATTAAAAAGAATAAATCTATTCAAATTTCTAAATTAAGAAATAATGACAAGAGTAGAGAAGAATATAAAAGAACGACAAAAGCTTTCTTGGTAAGAAAAAGAAAAGAATTCCATTGAATGGTGCAAATGAAGAATGTAAATAAAAAAGAATATCGAGGTAAAAAAGAAGAAGAAAATGATAAAGAAGAAGAGAGAATCAAGGAGATGAATGTAGAAGACAAGGACTGAAAAGAATGAAAGTGACAAGAAAAAAAGAAAGTAATGAGAATGGACAATATCACTGAAGAAGAAGAGGAAGTAGAAAAAAAGATGAAGAGGAAGAATAAGGGAAGTGCAAAGAAGGGGCGAAGGAAATTGAAGAATAAGAATGAATAGATCTGACAACATTTGTAAATGAAGAAAAAATACAGGGAAAAGGGAAGAAAAATATAACAATGAAAGGATAAAATTAAAAAGAAAGAGGGTCATTGAAGAATGTAGGAATGAAAAGAACACGATAGTAGTTAAAAGAAGAAGTAAAAGAAGATCGGAGTGAAAAGAAAAAAGAAACGAAAAGAAAAAGAAAGAGATAGGAGCGAACAGAAGAAAAAGAAGATGATGGGAATGAAAAAAGAAGAAGATAGGAGGAAGAAGAAGAAGAAGAAGAAGAAGAAGAAGAAGCAGACGAAATAAACGAAAAAAGGAAGGAGCGAAAAGAAAAAAATAAGATGATAGGAATGAAAAAGAAGACGAAGATAGGAATGAGAAGAAGAAAAAAGACAAAATAAACGAAAAACATAGGAGTGAAAAGAAGAAGAAGAAGAAGAAGAAGAAGAAGAAGAAGAATGGGAATAAAAAGTAGAAGAATATAGGAGTAAAAAGAGGAAGAAGATTAGAGTGAAAAGAAGAAAAAGATGATAGGAATGAAAAAAAGACGAAGATAGGAGTGAGAAGAAGAAAAAGACGAAAAAACGAAAAAGAAAAGAAGAATTAAGGATACGAATAAAACGTATAATTTGAGAGTAAAAGGAAGAAAAGAAGATAGGAGTGAAAAGAAGTAGAAGATGAGAGAAGGAAAGAAAAGATTAAGAATATAAGAATAGAAATAGGAGAGTAAAATGAAAGAAAGGACAAAGAAATTATGTTTAGAACAGAAAAGAAGGAGAAATGAACCCTCTAAGAAATAGGGAAATGACTACGAATAACGATTATAAATGAAAATAAAATAATAAGAGAAAGAATATATATAGAGAAAAGTTAAATGCAGTAAAAGTAGGAATAAAATGTCATCCATTTTTCTCTTGTCTTCCACTTGTTTATGGTAGGCACAATCTTTCTCGTCGAGGTATGAAGAGAAGGTGAAAAAGAAAAGGAATTATTTGAGACCTTTAAAGATAGGTGGAGGTAATAGAGCTTAGATAATAATCAAAGAATTAACGATGTGCTTGGAAAAGGGTGCCTACTGGCAGTGTTACTGGGTATATATGAATTAAGGATCTATATAATATCTGGTGCAAGAATCCTTAAAATAGATTGGAAACAACTGCTATGTAATGAAGAATTGAGATTGATCAGAACAACAGAATGCTGATGTCGACAGAAATATTGAAAAAAAAATATTTAAATGTGATTACATTTACGGTTGTTCAATTCCGTAATGATTTGAAGATAAACAATAACAAATGCTAGTAAAAAATCAACAAGTAAATAAACGAACTAATAATAATAATAATAATAATAATAATAATAATGAGTTATAGTAACACTAATGATAAAGACACCAGGCATAATTTCCATGGCTTCTGATACTATTTAAAGTAGTGATAACATGGACATATTTTGTATAATAACGAAGATGATGATGATATATATATATATATATATATATATATATATATATATATATGTAGTTATCATTACTTGCGCACTTGAAACAGCTCTGAGTAAATAGATGGGAAGTAGCAGAGAGTAGACATTGTCCGTAGAGTTTCAAGCAGAACGAGAAGAGTGATAGATAACACGACCCTGTTTGTGTATATTCGGACTATTGACCTCATCTTTGTTGTTTTTTATCCGGCCTTCCTCAGATATTTATTGATCTGGGTAACCTGCAGGGACTTCCGAACTGAACTCTTTATTTAATCTACAGGGGTAGACTCTTCTTGTTCCACTGCTCATGTCTAGAGATATCACAATTATGACTGAGCACTGAATTCAATCCTCACTGAGTGTCACATCTAAGCTAATCTTAGAAAATGTCTAGGGATATCGTCGAGTTTTTATTTTTATTCAGTACTGTTAAGTTATCTTTCGCCCGTTTCGACTGAGTGCAAGTACACACTGCCCGAACCAGGGATTGAACTCACAAGCACTATGTCACCAAATTCACAAACCAACACATATACCCATTAGGTCATTGCTTTGATAAACTTTGCAAAGATAAAAACATTATCAATTTTCAATAGAATCTTCAGAAGTTACACTGCTCGTAAGATTTAACAAAATATTGGAAAGGTTACTAGATATTTGAGCTTACTCTTAGTCCCGTTATAGCAATTGATGGCCCAAAGAATACAGCCAGCATATCTATGGATTCTAAGGTGTAATGTTTGCACTTAGAGTGTAGCAAAAACAAACAGGATACCAGGATCTTGAATTGACATTTTATGAAACATACAGCTACTCGAAACCTAAGAAGAGATAACTGGATACAGAGAGATTTCTTGAGACATATTTTTGGGTTGCATGAAAGTTGGCTGTCAAGTTGGACACAAGGATAAGACAATATTTAAAAAAAGCTGCTGAATATTTGTTGGAGACTGGTAATTTTTGACGTGCTGAGTTCAAATTCTGACACAATTCTTTGCATTAAGTTTCGATCCATATCTCTTCCAATATCTCCGGATAGTAATTATTACACGTGTACAAAAATAACACGTTCTTCGTCCGCTTTTTTTCAAGAAAAAGTTTGAAGTGTGTAGTAACGTCGTGCATTCATATTATCATCTATTTCTCGGTAATAGAAGGTAATATCCGTTTTCCTATCATTTTAGAGGCGTTACCTTTTATCCATTTGTGTCAGCAGGAAAGAGAAGACAAGAGAGTACAAGAAACCTAGAAAGTTTAAGTTAGGGCTATGTGTCGAAAGATAAAAAAATGAATGAAGATACGGTAGAGGATAACGAACGGTAGTGTTGTTAAACCTAAGGATTAAATAAGAGAGCAGACTTTGCTCTCTAATTTTGATTTGTAACTAGTCTGGAAGAAAGAATGCTTTTAAATGGTTGAAGGTGGGGTTATCAAATTCAAAACCAAAGCAGTACCTAATGTCGTGAGGCTCCAGAGAGGCATGGTCAACATTATATCGGAATGAGTAGTGTATATAAAAGTAGAATTCTTTCTATTTGATATTTACTAGCAACAAATGCATCAATTCTTTACAAAAAACGGAGGGAAATAATAAGGGAGAATATGTTTCACTATGGTTGATATGAATATAAAACTAACACTGATTAAAGGATTTGAAAACAGAACAGACATTATAAAACACTCCCTATTATAATTACAAATCTACAGCCATTTGCAAATTTATGTGTAAATTGAACAATTATGGGCAAAAGAAATGGTATTCACTGCCATATGTCTATAAAATAAAACATGTATTATAATATCCCATATATGGCAGTGAATGGGCGACAATAAAATAAAATATATGCACCTACAAACATAAAGACGTCGGGCATGTATTTAAAATTTAGCGGTGGAATCTCATAGAATAAAAAGACTTTAATTAATAGAGATATGTTTCTAGCGTCAGATGCGGAAAATACCATTGTGAAAACATGCGAGTAACGAGAAAACAGTCTGAAATTTTCGGCGCGCATAATGAAGAAAGAAGACTTGATTAATTAAGACACTTAGAGAACATATGGGAAGCAAAAAAGCATGTGTAAACAACGTGACGAATTTGTGAGACTCTATGACAGAACAAAGGAACCGAAGGTTGTTAAAGAGCGCGAAAGATATATGCATCCCAAGACCAAAGACATTAACTTATGGAACGTCATGTTCAAACGCGTTCCCCACAAACTGAATAGTGTTAAAGTCGGCAGAAAAATATTATGTTAATTTCTTTCTCTCATAAGGATTTACATAGAGTACCATTGTTATAAGTGATATTTTACCTATTCATCTGTTTGCTAATCGTTTAGTCAAGGCCATTATTACAAAAAAGGGGGATAGCTTTCAAAAGATTAATCTCGTCGCATATCTGCTATTATTTCTTGTTCATTTTGCCGTCTTTCACGGGTGATGATTTCATGCTTTATATTCCTTTACAAATTTGGGCCTTACGGCTACATTAAGTTGAAACACCGGTACCTGTACGATCACCGAAGTTAAGCAACGTCATATCTGCTCAATACCTAGTTGGGTGATCATTTGGCAATAACAGATGATATAAGCATTTTTGTGTGGGTGGTGTAATGGATAACGGCTCGGAATTGTTAATCGGAGAGCCGAGTTCCAATTCCCGTTGTATTCCTTATATTTACTTTCGCGCAAATAACTTTGGGAAAGATATAAACATATATTCTCTCCACAGTTATGGATTAATTAGTAAAACTTGTATCACTAGAGCATTATTACCTAAAAAAAAAAAGAAATTCATTCAATCTAAAAAATATTTTCTTGCTTTAAATAAGATTGATGAGTTATAGAAAAGGAATTAATCAGTAAAAATTATCTTTTCTTTCATTAATTAATTTTAATTTTTATTCTTTGTGTTGTATCGTTGAGGTGAATGATACAAAAAAGAAGAATGAGTTCTGAATATATTTATTCAGCACCAGTATCCGGTGCTAATGGATACATACAAAAACACAGAACAATAAGTTTAAAAAACAATTAACAAGACAACTTATAAGGAATAGAGGAGGGTCAAATGCTGTATAGCCAATCTAATTAAGATCAGTCCAAATATTAAGCAGCTTAGTATCAACTTATAAATCAACAGCTGAAATACTTAATCGTAGACTATTTAAGGCTATCAGCGAGGCTATATGGCAGAGTGCTGAAGGGGTGCTTGCTTTTCTACAACACATTGTCTCATTTAAATTTCATTGTTTTTTATCTGTAGTTATTTTTTTTATTTTTCCCATTTGTTAAAAACTGTTTCCCGTGTTTTTTATGTCTTGTGAGTATCAAATTCTCTAAACATTTTTGTTTCAATATCTGTCGCAGAAATTTCAAGTTGTTTATGACCCTCAGCAAAAGTGTTCTTTTTGTTATCTTTCTTATTGTCCACATTTCGTCCATGAGATTTTAAGCCGGTTCTGTTGCCACCATTTTGCTTTTCGACTGCAAATGCATTTTATTTTGCGCTACTTCTTATCATCTAATTCTTCATT